ACTACTACTACTACTACTACTACTACTACTACAACACTGATTGTTAAGTACTGCAGTTGCAACTGCTAATAGACCAGATAGCAAGATTGTCGAGGAAAAAAATTCAGATGCCAAAATACATTACTAGATGATATTTCACTTCGAGTGATCACAATTCCAGGAATCTGCTAATACGGTGATATTATACCCAGCTATAACCAAAACATCTTTCAGAAGAAGAACAAAACACAATTTCAACAAAAAACAGTCCTAGAAAGACAAATTTAGAAAAACAAATTACTAATCCTGTAGGCATTCAGAGAGACGTATTTGTCACTCGAAACCATATCTTCTTGGTTAAGAGTAAAATTGAAATTCGATTTCCCAATCGGATACTTTTAATTGTTGTCAACAACTTTCTTTTCTTCAGAAAGCATTTCCATTAGTCATTGTATTAACAGAAAAACAACAACTATTTTTAGCTATTGATTGGGAATATTTTTTCCTGTTGACCACGAGAAAAATAATTGTTAATACTATTTGGATAACCAATTTGGATTATGTTTATTTCATACCTCAAATAGAAGAATATTAGATGTAATAATATTTCCTTCCACATCTCCACATACCGACACCCCGTATCACTATTTTGATCTTAATGATGATTTTGTTAAGATAAATAAATATTTATATATTAATTAGTTTTATGTAGTTTAAATACTAACATCAAATCAGATATCTTCAATTTAATTCGAATTAAGGAGCAGAATGTATTTATTTGTACGGGAACATGCAGCTGCAACTTGCGAAATTCTATACCGTTATTAATTGCACTCCTGCTACCAAACATCCTGGGAGGCGTCGATACATGGTGCTTTCAAATTCATCATTCATGTAAACTGAAGACAAAGAGCTCCCTGAAAACCCATAAATAATAGATCAAAGGGAAAGATTACCATAGAAAAGAAAGATTTTGAGACGCTGCCGCAAATCGTTTCTCACTTAAAAACATTTCCCTCCCCCGCAAAAATCTCTCAAAAATACCAATACAACACGCGCATCATGGTCCTATCACTGCAATACAAAAACAATATTCATTTATTGTAATGCATTTGTATCTGTATTTATTGTTTATTTGTTTGTTTTTTGTTGAAAATAGTAAACATAACTGTATGTATTACATTGTTTAGGACAACGGAATGCAATTGTATTCATGGTGGTGGAAACAGCATTCAGTTCAATATTCTATGAAGAATAACGACAACAAGTCTCCATAATACCTCTCAAGACTTAAGAACAATTTATCCACATTGCAAAAAAAAAGGAAAGAACATGCCACGGCTGTTGTCAAAATCTGATTTTGTAAATGCCTCTAGAAATTCAACTTTACATTTTGTTCCTGTTGAGCTATGAAAAATTCAACGTTGCCGTTCTTCATTACGGGTAACCGCATGATAAAACGATTCATCCGGACCATATCACATAACCACGATGCAGGCGATTTATTTCAATCACACTTTCGTCATCATAGCTACATGCATCACTCACTGTCAACAGTTGTCAAAGTGAGGATAGAACATCTGCCCGAAAGCATGCTAGAGGTACAAGGGGTTTTCCCTTTTTCGTCAGAAAGCGAATTACTTTGAAAGTTCTTTCTTTTGTCCTTTAAAAATGCTTGATAATCTTTGTAAGCCATTGTTTAATACCTGCGAAGGCTATAGACCTAGATGAAGAATTGACATGCTATCAAATTTCTATCATTTCCTTTGACCGGAAACCACAACTTTTTAGTTTGAAAGTTACTTAAAAAAAATAAGTTTCTTTGCTCATTTACTTTGTTATGATAAGTGGTTGAAGTGAATGTTTATTATTTATGATTCTGTTAGTGATATAATTTTACTAAAATGAAAATAGCAACAACAACCACAAAAACAAAACAAAAACAAAAACAAACACAACGATTCTTCTTTCTGTGATATACATTTTCAGATGAGATCTGGCTACGTCGCGATAGATAAAAGCTTTAACTGCACACATTTTGTAACATTTGCCTGACTGTTTTTCGGGATATGTGTGAAAATTCAAAACAAATGCCTACCAGATATATTGAATTTATCATGAAAATTTAACCTAGGTCAGAGACAGTGAAAGAGAGAGAGAGAGAGAGAGAGAGAGAGAGAGAGAAACGACGGTAGACAGACAGAGAGGAAGGGCGAGTAAAGAGTAGCAGGAGGGGAATACATATAGGGGAGAGGGAGAACAAGAGAATGAGAGGTAAAGAGAGAGAGAAGGAGGGACAGAGGGAGAGCGCGAGACGGGGGACAGAGAAAAGATATAAAGATATAGAGAGAGAGAGGTAGAGAGGAGGGCAGAGGAAGAAAGGTGGATAGAGAGAGAGAGAGAGAGAGAGAGAGAGAAGAGAGAGATATAGAGAGATAGAGATGAGGGTAGAAAAAGAAAGGGGGAGAGAGAGGAGAAAGAGGGAGACAGACAGACAGACGGAGGGAGAAAGCGAGACGGGGGAATAGAGACCGAGAGACAATAATTATACAGGGAAAGCGTCTGGAAGAACTGGGTATCCGGCGTTCATTCAACCTTACCCGCTTCCTGACTGAGATATGATTTGCCACCGACACAGTATCAGCCAAATTCATTGATCGTTCATTCTCATTTTCGTAGCCTTAAGCGCTGGAAGAGAATCAACTTCTACCGCGCATCTGGCGAAGGAATGCCGTCATCCTCAACCCAAACTGAGGCGCACCAACATGAACAACGACAAATAAATAAAAACGCTCTGGAAGAAAACCCCTAATACAGGAAATCGAAAGACTGCCATCCCAGCTTTCGATCTCAACCGCCTCAACCCTTTGCCCCCTCCGGTGATCTCGAGTTTATCCACTTTAAAATTCGTTCTTGAAGTATAAATTGACAAGGGGTATGTTGTATGACTGGTTCAGTGCAAGGGCTAGTGGTTAGATCTTAAAGGAATATTTTCTAACAATATTACTCCTTATGATGCTCTTTGTCACACGACTTACACTCATGACAATAACCTTCCAAGGAGTTTCTTATAAAAAGTATTGATAATAACACTTATAATATTTACATCTATTTGGCGCACGTATTCATCCCCAGGTGATGCTCAGGGCGTCTGATTAGTACATACCCTGGCTTTATCCCAGCTGCCCTCAGGCGCTAACACATTCGAAGAATGAAATCCTACCAGGTACTCATTTACTCCACCTGGGTGGGAAGTGGCACATGCAGATAAATGTCTTACCAAAAGGCATTAGTAGTGGAGCGACACCTTTAGTGTATCTAGCGTAGGATACATTTATACAACTGTTCCCCGTCCCCCTCCAAAAGAAAAACGCGAACAAAAAATAAATACACAAATACATAACGCCGCTACTACAAACCCCTTCTTTCCTAAAACAAAATCTGTTTTTTTCAACCAAGCCTTATTTTATTTTGTTACCGTCAAAAAGTAGATATAGGGCATATTTGTCGCGTGTAAATTGCCAGGAAGTGATTACCTCTCCAGCGTGCATTAAAGTGCATGTAAAAAGACACGATTAAGACGCAATTTAATATTTTATCACCTCTTCTGTCTCTTAAGCGTTTTGTCTTAAATTTTCTCCCGAAACCTTCTCGAGGAACTAAAAAAGATATGAATTTTGAATTTCTATTCTTCTCTCAACTTTCAGGTCCATTAATGGAATTCGATATCGCTTAATTCCTGTCTGATGGCTGTTTGATGGTGTAATTGAAATATAAAGATATGGGTCTAAAAAACAGCGTTTTCCCTCAAAGCGCACGCTCAGGCTCATATAATTTCAAATGCACACCTCAATGTGATAGCCCCCGTATATTTCTGGGTCTCAAGAATCGACAGCGAATATGACACCCTTTTTCTCTCCCTTTTTTGAAATTTCTGCAACCGGCACTCTTCCAATATTGATATACCAAATATGTGTCAGGTAGGGGAGAGTGTTTGTGATTCGGGCGACGAATATTGAAATATTCAGTGATTTGTGGTGGTTTCCATTTCCCCCAAAATAAAAAAATGAATAAAAGAAAGAGCCAATTCTCCCTGGCTCAATGCATATTTGATGGCTGCTGCTTTAATGGGCAATAGACGGTGCAAATTGGAAAGCAAATGGGGCTGATCACATGGACATGAATACGTTAGGACTTTAATCTAAGTGTTTCGAATTACTTAATTCAAACATTGCTCTTGAAAATTAGAAATTTGATAGATTCAAAAGCGTCACATTAGCAAAATCAACTTTTCCTAAATACATAGAAACAAAGCAATTGGAGCCCTCCAGTATGACTCAAAATTAAGCTAAACGACTTTTCTTCAACAACAACAAAGTATTTAAATTGATATAAGCATTGCAAACTCTGCGATAAACATTTAAGTACATATGTGATATTGGATCTATGATTCCTTATAATTATAGATGTAAAATAAAAACGTACGGAAGTTCGTATTTCCTCTCGCGAAGTTTACACGAATTTAGAAAAGTATTAAGGTTAGGACTTTATAAAAGAACTCAGATGTCCTGATGAAATTTGTAAAGATGTGACCGTTTATTTACACTGCCTGAATTGGTAATAGCAATTGTATGTGGTAGGTTTTTCATTTATTTGTCTTTACTTCTAATCTCAATACATGTGTTATTACAGGGGGTGTTTCACAAAGATCCTAAGTAGAACTTAACACTAAGTTTGACTTAAAAATTATGGACAGCCATTGGAGCCTTAAAATGAAATATAGAAGTCTACTCAAAAGCAGAAATTCAAGTAATTTAGACATTTTATAAATTCCACAACAAGAATATGAAATCTCCTTAATGATAGAAAATATGAATGATTTGAATAAACATTTTATGCCTTTCAAAAATATTTTTACCAAATATTTTCAAAGATGCTAATGGCTTTCCATAATGTTTAAGTCCAACTTAGAGTTAAATTCTACTTAGGATCTTTGTGAAACATCCCCCAGGTGTACTTACCAATTTCATAAAAGATCTCCTTGAAGATTGAAGATTATTATATTTTGGAGACATACATGTAAGACAAGTTGCTGGCGTAAGTCGACAGAGATGTATGGATCAGCACGAATAAAACAAACTCCTGTCCGCCGTCTGACTTCAGAAATGGATCTGAAACGAAAAGAATTAATGCAAATAAAGGCAATAAATCATAAATGCGTATATCGACAGATCCAATACATATCAACTTTCGATCAATCGATACCATGTACCGATCTTCGCTGCAAGCTTACACCGTCTGCGCAGTTCGGCGGACGTCATATCGAATTTGTTGCCTTGTGCAGGAGACGGAAAGCGGTAATTTAAGATGTTGCATTCATGCCGCAAAGCAATCTGAATATCCAGATTTAGCAAATTTTATTAACTTTGACATGATGAGGAATATCAAAGGTACATTTGAAAGACGGCTATCACGTTCAATTTGTCAAGGCAATAGCATTTAGACTAGATACTGTTTATAGCGGATTGAATTCTGATCGCTACTTTCATATCTTACCCCGAAAGCAAAATGTTGGGGGTTTCTTCGCAAACAATTATAAACGTTATAAAAAAAGATAATTAACGTTGCTGTTCTGTTTTAGGTCACTGTCTATGTCAAACCTGGTATAATTAAGCCTAGGCTGACAATGAGGGACAGTTTTCGTCAGGATGGTTTATTTTCTTGAAGAAGAAATTGCAATTTCTATTATCTCAACCATAGGTAGGTCGGTCCTTTTGACAGATGCTCTTAAAACAATATGTTATATCCATTGATTGAAAAGAAGGAATAGATGTGTGGTTCTTTGTTAACAAATGAAACGGATTATATTTAATAACCATTAATATTCGGTTTGAATCTACTTTTACCCGATTGTAATAAATAGCCTTCTCTACCAAGTTTACATTTTCCTCACAGCAAGATATAAAGTTCAAATTTGGACCATTTTCCCCTAAAGCTACAAGAAAAAACAGCTCACTGTAAAAGGGCTCAAATGTACAATATTGAAAATGGAAATGTTATGTGAACCTTTGAAGGTGTAAAAGCACTTTTGACAAAGCCGAACTCACATTGGAGTAGAAAATAGAACCTCGACATCAATCCATGTTCGTTTTTACGACGCAAAGTGTAAGACCATAACAAAATGTTCAAACAGGCACCCTTATATGGAGTGCTTTTATGGGTACTTGTTCAGGGCGCACAATAAAATTCAGCCTTCACTATGTTGTTCTTTAAAGTATGGTTCGTTGCTTGTATTTTTGATGCTCTTTTTGTTAATGTTGGTGGTGCTGGTGGTGATGTGGTGGTGTGTGTTTTGTGGTCGTGCGGTTGTCGATGTTTTGTGGTTGTTGAGTAGAGTTTGAATTTATTTATTTATACACGGTTGAAAGCCGCCATCAGCTGAGAGCTGCTTTTCAGCATGGCCCCGAAACAATGATAGACATCAGATTAAAGATTGTTTTCTTTAACAATATAAATGATATCTAGAGTAATTGCACAAGTGTAGACATTACAAACGAATCATTAAAAATGTTTAGTTTGGTGGTTGGTTTGATGTTTTGTATTACATGGCTGCTATGTATGTATGCTTGTATTGCATCCAGGGGACCTACGGCGTTAACTCCTCTCCCAGGGACTTGGTAATGAGGACCAATGCCTTACTAAAGGGCAATAGTGCATTGAATTAGTTTCCCTTCAACGCTCAGAGTCCAGATCCGCTACGATACACCCCTCCTCAGCTCACATCAATGTTTGTTTTTTTGCCGCTTATATACAGTGTTCATGAATATCATCATTACTGAACGATTTGCCCGAAAATCAATCACTGCAACATGAGTCATCGACAAGATAGTATAGAAACTATTAAGTCCTGGAGAAACGACTCAAGCATCCGTCAATACCAAAGGACCTATCTGCGGAATGTCTCATCAGAAGACTTATGATGATTACAAGTCATTTCTAGCGACCAGCTAAATGTCCATGTCTCAACACCATACTGACAAGGTCACATCTGATGTGCATGACTGGGGATCTGGCAGGCTTGTTTTCATTGTCAAGTTCTTGAAGTTGGAGGGGGTAGTACGCGTGCATGCTGTCGCCGGATTTCCCCGTCAGATAAGAGAGAGAAATCCATTAAGGACGTTATAATGTTTTATGACTGGGAATCTCATTCTTTATCTACTATTATCTATAAAACCAAACCCATAAATGCAATATGAATTAACGACGTAGATTTTATTACTCTGTTCATGTATTATGCTGCTAATGAAGGTTTCATCTCATTTAGCATCTTAAAACGTCTTTGAGGTGAATATTGCATTTTATGTATTTTTGTTTTTCCCACCATTCATCAACACCTGCCGCGATCATAAAATAGAGGAAAACCATTCCATTAGAGTGAAAGGCCTTAGGTATAACTGTGGTTTTAAAGAAACATGAACAACCTGTTCATAATTTTATCGCCAGTGATTTCATTTCCGTTTACATCTGTTTTGGCTTCAAGGACGGAAAACATCACTGAAATCGTATATTAATGTATATTAACCTACAACCGTCAAAGCATAAAGATTCTTATAGGTTTTCTAGCGCAGTTTGGGAGAAATGCGTTAGATCAATATTTACTTTTACCGTTCTCGTTATTATTTATCTAATTTTCTTACACTATTATTTATTCTCCAATTAGGTTTTATATATTGTAGGATAACAACTGTGGTGATTTAAAAAAAAAAATCATATATCAACATAATTTATTGTTATAAAATTCAATACGTCTTACGTAATTCCGAAATTCATTTCAGTATCAAATTAGTGATCTGGGTATGCAACAGTTTGACGAAACTGTTCCTACATTAATTTCTACAGCAAAATTATTCGTCAGTCACACCGCCAAATCGACTCCACGCCAACACCAAACCGACCGATCATTGGCCATTCGTGGTAATGTTTTTTGTGTTAAGTCTGCCATCGGTCTGGTGTCGGTCTCATAGGTGTGACCAGGGTGGGTTTTTTTGGCAGTGGGGACGGGTCCACTGAGAAAAATTCATGGCGTTGACACAATGGCCCTCTAGGTAGGGTCGTGGAAATGTAACCAATGTTCGGAATCTTGTTATGAAATGCGAGCCGCGAGCTTTGATTCGGTTCAGTCACATTACTGTCTCTAATAAGTGGGTGAGCCGGGTTGGGGGAGAGGTGACGACGAGACTCATTGATGAGAGATGTGTCGATCGGAATGAGGGATAGGAGCTGATGGAGAGATGGAGGGAGAGAGAAGTGGAGCGACAGAGAGAGACAGAGGGGAGAGATACAGAGATAGATAGAGTGGGATACAGAGACAGAGAGAGAAACAGAGAGAGGCAGAGAGACAGAGGGAGAGGGAGAGAGAGAGAGAGAGAGTGAGAGAGAGAGAAGAGTAAATGAAATGGAAGAGAGGGGAGAAAAAACAGGAAGACAGTTTTGGGAAAAGCGAGTGTGGAAAGGAGCGGGAATACAGAGATAAAATAAAGATTTTGTTTTTTTTTTAAAGAGAGAGAGAGAGAGAGAGAGACCAAAATAGAGTAGGAAGATCGAGAGTCAGTGAGAATATGAGAGAAGGAGGGAATGCCAGAAAAAGAAAAGAGAGAAGGTTCGAGTGACAATTTGATTTAGGAGAGGACAAGGAGAGAATGCGAAAAGAAAAAGGAAAGGGCGAGAGAGAGAGAGAGAGAGAGAGAGATTGAGATGGGGTGAAAATGACAAGGTTGAAAATTGAATTACCGAATGATAGCGTACATAACGCCGTCAATTCCCGCCCGTAATCATACACCTTCTCTAAAATTGTAAGAAGAACATGTCAGTAACCCATGAATTGACATTGATGCCACCGTAACCTAGTCAGGCAAGTGACAGATGAATTTCGTTCGTGAGGTATGACTATGATGCCATTACAAAAAAAAAGTCCGCCATTTTGTAGATACAGGTGAATATGCAACAATATTTAAAATTATTAAGTTTCTAAAATTATAAGGTTTCTACATACTAAAACAGGATTAAAATCTCTCTGTGAGTATGATGAGTAGAGGCATCCATTTAAAAAAAACGTAAGGAAAAGTTGCACTATGATCACATAATCCTGTTAACTTTCCGTTAACAATTTTTGAGTTTCCACAAAGCACGGGATAAATGATTTTCAATGAATCTTTCAAGAAGGAAAAAATTGAATGATTATAATCTGACCGTAATGCATGCACTTCAGTAAATTCTTCAAACCTATCAACAGCATATTATATAACATATACTACACTCAGCATGTATCATTTCATTCTACTTTAGGGCGTGAACTTTAACCTTTAGCTTTTCTTTTATTTACTATGCATTTGTCTCCTGTAGGATTTATACATGTTTGTAATGAAATAATTTCGTATTTCATTTTATTTTTATATTTGTATTAATTTTATTTTGATGGACTTCTCATTTTCCTATCAGTACGTCATCAGAGTATTTTGGCGTGTTATCGATGATATTCTCAACGTCTAGCTGCAATGTTATAATAATAATTACAGGGCTTAGTGTATTTCTAACTTTACTCCTAACAAAAAAGTATACGATGTCTAATTGTCTCAATTCATACCACATGTTTTCTCGTTTGTTTTCGCGGACTTACAATAGTATCAAAAGCAAGCCATTAAGACGCCACGCTGACCATCGGTCATACAAATATTTTGTTAATGTTAAGCCTTTTAAATCATGATAAGCAAACAAATCTATACGAAGTACTGGTATCAATGACCACGCATTTTTGAAATGTTTGTGCTTTTGATGTTTTCCATGCTTCGATCTTCTCCAACCTTTTGCCCCCGCAAGTGCACTACACCCCTCCTCCCCCCCCCTCTCTCTCTCTCTCTCTCCCACTCTCCTTCCCCTATATCTCTTCTTGGAGAGTCTTTGCGAACGTGTGAAACGCTAGGAGGTATACAATGTACCTTTTTCGGAATTATACTTAATCATGATTATATGCCGTCAGTTATTATTTATCTTCCCAAATATAAAGTGGACCTACCATCTACCCCCCCCCCCTATCTCTCTCTCTCTCTCTCTCTCTCTCTCTCTCTCTCTCTCTCTCTTCCTCTCTCTCTCTCTCTCTCTCTCTC